TCAAATGCGTTGAGAAAGGAAAAGTGAGCAATGTAAAATGAAATGGGCATTTTGAAAATTTCATTTTGAAATACAAAATCTTAGTCTGTGAGTGACTAATGTTGTGGACCAAGTTTTCCTTTTAAAAGGCGACTAATAATCCAAACTGGAGAGAGTAATGTCTAATAATATTAAATAACCTTATCTCAAACATTAATTAATTACATTTTAAGTATTCAATAGATAAATTCAACATCATGAAATATAAAATATTTTAATAAAAATAAATTTTTATCAATAATATTTTTATATTATTATTCTTCTTATATTTTTTTTAATATTCTTTTATATATAGTGTATTAAATTAAAAATATTATTGAAAGCTTATATTTAAAAAAATAAAATTATAAAATATATTTAATAAATTTTATTAATATATATATAGGAGTAAACATGATTTTGTTTAAAAACATATGATAGTTTGAGATTTCAAGTAATTAGGCAGCAGGCAACAGGTGTTATGGAGTATTGATGTGATTGTCTAGTACTTGTTGTGGGAAACTTGGCTGAATAAAGAAATGTAATGAACGTACCAACTACAGAACACACTTTCAGTGTGTTTGGATAGCACATTAATCGATTTTTTTAGGAGAAAAAATCAATTTTGCATGAAATTATTCAAACTGTGACTTTTTTAAAAAATCAATTTTTTTAGAAAAATTGATTTTTTCACAAAGCTGAGAATCCGAGCGTTTGGAGGAACGCTTGCCAAAAATCTTGGAAAAAATTACAAAGATAGGCCCAAGCAAAAATTACAAAAATGGCACCTAATTGAATAAAAATAAAATTAAATTCTCTTCTTTTCTTTTTTTTAATAAAATTTAAACTTTGTATATTTAAAAAATTAATATTTGATATTTAAAAATTAAATTATATAGTAATTTATATAACTAAAAATTAATTCTAATTAAATTATCCAAACATTTTCAATTATATTAAAATCAATTTTAGAAAAACAGTATCCAAATACATTGCGTTATAATATAATCAATTATGATTAAAATCTATCACTTAATCAATTATTTTTATAATTTATTATACCCAACTGAAATCCAAACGGACCCTTTATCGTTGAAAACTTTACCACTGAGTATTGTTGAACCCTTGTGCCAACTCCAGTTTCATATATAACATTCCCTCATCTTTATTATAAAATATTTTTAATTATTTTCCTAAAATTTAAAAAAATTAATTAAATTATTAATTTTATTTAAAAATAAAACAAACTTTTATTTTTATTTATATTTAAATTAAAAAATTTAAATTTACATTACATTTTCTTTTATAATTAATGAGTTTATGTATGAGTAATAGTGAAATAATATAATTAATACAGCATCAAGTGCTATATATTATGGACAAAAAAAATTTTAAAAAAAGGTGCCCTATAATAGGAAGAGGAGAGAGGTACATCAATCATTTGTTTCTTTTTACTCCAATCTAAAGATAAGCAAAACCAAATAAAATCAACCAGTCTAGACTAATCCGATAAAAATCAAATAAAATCTATCATTAACAAGGTTTGGTTTGGTTTACATTTGAAAATCAAATGGTTTGGTTTTGCTTTTCATTTTTTTTAAACCTTAACCAAATATGAACCATACATTTTATATTTTTAAATGTATTTTTTATTATTAATATTAGACTATAAGTGTTTAGTTTTTAAAAATTTTAACTTCTCTAACCCAAACATAAAATACTTTATTATAATTTCTAACCCTTCCTTTCTCAATTTTGTAATTAGGGCATATACTCAGGTTATTTCAAAAATGATCTTTTAAATAATTTAAGATATAAAATTTTTCTCTTTTTTATTTAAAACAAATTACTTTTCATTATAGATGTTAAAATAATTTGTAATAAAATTTAACGTATTACTTATAAATACATATATTTTGATGTTTATTGATGATAAAATTTGAATATTTTTAATTTGGATATATTGTTCATTTACATTCATGAATGATAAAGTTAGGAATATGATTTGAAATTGGATTATGAAAGAAAAAAAAGAGTCAAAAATCATGGTTAGTCTTAATATATATTTTATATACTAAAAAATATTAAAATTTGATCCATGTATAAATCAAAATGAACCAAACCTCCTAAAAACAAATCAAACCGATCTTAATGAAAAAAATTAATTAAGTGTTATTTTTTATGCAAACTATATAATTGGTTTTGTTGGATTCACGTTTTGACTAAAATCAAAACAAATTACACACTTGATCACCCTTATTCAATCTATCTAACATTATAAGACACTTCTAATCAAATTACATATTCAATGAGTTAGTTAATTATGTTTAAAATTACACCCTCTTTTTTTCTATTATCCTTATTTAATAAGGTGTCTCAAAAAAAAAACCTTATTAATTAAACCCCTTAATTAAGAGTTTCTAGAGTAAGTATTGGTTACACTTTAAAATACTCAAAATGCTCTATATTTTTTTAACATTATTTAGAGCTTCCAAAATAAATGTTGATTTTGTCTCACTTGCTGTTCTAAGTAATGTTGAGTCTTTTCAAAATGCCTAAAAATTTAACGACTGCGCTGAGTGAAGCCTTTTATCAATTTTTCTTCATTCTTATGGGTGATGCACAACTAAGGTTACCTCAATTCTAATTTATTTCATAATTCTGAGCAAAATTTAATGTCCTAAAATAAAAGATACTTTGATAAAAATAAGATTTCATTAACCTTTCCATTATATTTTCTCCTTTTACTATACTTCTACAAATGGAATATTAAATGAAAAATATTTTTAAAATTTATATTTTTACTTTAAAAATAAAATTATAAAATGTCTTTAATAAATTCTATTGATATGTATAGTTTTATTTAAAAATATTTTATAAATTAGGATGAGAAATGAAAACGGAGATTGTTGATACTTTGGTAAGGATCAATGTAGATTGTAGAAGATGCTTTGGTTTGAGGCAGGAACATGAACGGGTGAGAGATGATAAAGGCACTAAGATGTGATGGTTACCTGGAAGCAATTAATGCAAGGATCAAGAAATGCATGCCAATTCAATGCTCTCACAAATGCACCATAATTGGGGTCAAAAAAAAAAAATTGCACCATAACTTGAAATTTACAGCACACCTTGTGATGATTTGACAGAATCCATGACTAAATTCCAACATGCCAAACATACCCGTGTTTGATCCCAGATCGAAGTCAATCCCATATGATCCCTTTCCACGTTTTTATAATTACTAGTATGTTAGTGTTCTTCGAAGTTGAAATAATATTAATAATTACTTCTAGTGCATAAGGGTGTCTAAGTTGGATATTTGGAGATATGCAGAGTCATATAATCTAATTTGATGGTCTAACATATGCAGGAAATATGAGTAGATAACTAATGACATTGAATTTAATAAAGTGAACTAATCTCTTATAATATAATAAAATAAAGTTTGAATTCTGTTAAAAAAATGTCAATATTTAATGCCCGGCTATGTTTAGAAGATGACTACCTATGGTATAATTATACTTATATGCGATCAAGAAATAAAGATCCAAAGGCAATGCTGGTGCATTGCCCTGGTGGCCCCCACCTCCCTATCCACAGTCCACACCCACACACACCCATACTGGTTTTGTGGCAGAAGAAACATAGCTATCCTTATTAAAAGAAGACTGGTATGAGAATTGAAGAGAGTAATTCCAATATTTAATTTTTCACCCCCTGATAGCAAACTCTGGCTCTACCTGGCTTTTCTTCATCGCTTAAAACTCATCATAGGGAAAGAAAAATACTATTTAAAGAAAAATACGTGGGGCTATTTCAAGATAAGATCAGAGATCCAGAGTTTTAGATGGTATCAGTCTCAATCAGTTGATGTGAGCAACCACAGATAGAATGAGAAAGAGGAAGACGCAGATCAAGAAATCAAAACAGTCCTATCGACCAAAATTTGATGTGTGACTTTAGTGACTGAAAAGTATTGGTGTAAGCTGAGAAATTATAAGGTGATATAAATTAATAATTTTGTCAATGCACATGTATAGCTAATAACAACTTGAAAGAACTGTGCACAACGTGATTTTAAAAGGTAGTCGCGCCTTGAACTTGAGGGCCAGTTGATGCACTTACCCTTGAATGAAAAGATAAAAGAAAAGTGACATATTTGTTTTATTAAAGTTTACTTTGAGTATGTGGCAGCTGGCTGCATAATATTCGTTATACAACCACAGACAGAGATTTAATTGCTAAGGGAATAGATCTCTCCGAAAGATAATTAGTGGTAAAGCCTTTTGTGTTTAACTCAAAAACACAACGCACAAAAGTCTTCCTCAGTTCATTGCCGACACAAACGGTATGGTTGATTATATTTACACTTCTTACTTGCCTTGTTGTAGCATTCCATGTATGGTTAGATCTTTATATATGTCTCTCTCACATTTATATATGGCTACACTAGTACACTCAATTGCTGCGCACTCACTGAAAATGAGTTGCCACAAGTAAGTTACAATTATAAAAGAAGGTTCATATTTACTGATTGCATTTCCTTTGTTTTCTAAAGCCTGATCCGCTTCTTGAGCCAATTTTCAGGTATGTCTCGGTGTCGGTGATGATATTCAAGCTCTCACAGTCACATGGGTTCTGGCTGCATTTTTCAGAATCTGACTCGGTACTCACAAGTCATAATCTCTAAGTTCCTTCATCTAATCAAAACTTAGAATGAACCACAATTTTTTTTTTTTTGTAAAAAAAAGGAAAACTTAGAAAGAAATATGATACCTACAACTACCCGCACAAAGATGCCCTCCATAACAGCCTCATGCCAGCTCACGACTCAACCTAACTCACACGTGTCTTTGGCTTTCCATTCTTCACATTTCTACCTAATGCAAAGCTGATTGCCATTTCCACCATCTCTTCACGTTTAGTATGTTCATAATCATAATGTAACTGTCAGCTCTAACAAGAATTACATGCACAAATATTCAAACAACATATATCATTGTAATTGGAATGTAATTTTTTGGCACATAATTGCAATGTAATTTGAAGAAACAAAACAAAAATGTCGGATTTACGGAATCAGGAACTAATAAACTACATCAAACGACCAACATAGGTAGCTCGTGGATATTCCCTTTGCAACTGAGGCCATTGAACAAAAAGCTGATCGGCCATCCGGAACTTGTACAAAAGCAGGCCACTTAAGGAAAGTCTTCTAACTCTTGCAATACTCTCAACATAGAAAACTGATGACCACCGGATCCCCAATACCTGTACAATAGGTTATCCGCACATCAATAGCAACTTTATTTAGCAATTAAGTTCAACAAAAACAAATACTACCTAAAAATAAACGGGTTTAATGAAAGAAATTATGGGAAAAATTGCATGAGGAAAGGAATAAGAACCTTAAAAGAGAATGCAATTGCACATATTGGAATGCAAGTTCCAGGTCCATTGCAAAGAATCTGATATAGCAGCATAGAATTACAAATTTTTTTCCAAACTACCAGGATGACTGCACTGCAAAAGGAATCAAGCATATAAAGACAGACACAATACCACTTGAGGCCTAATTTTAATCATTAGCCACAATGCATGTATCATTGCAATCAAAGTGGTCCAAATTGAGGTTATATATGATTGACCAACTTCCCTGCTCCGATATATCTCCATGAATTGAGCAATATCGGGAACCCTGGTTCCATTCTGCAGTGAAACCTACTTCTGATCAGAATCCATAAAGTGGTGATATCAAACAAAAATTCACCTACCTCTCAACAAGATACGCATCGCATTTGCACCCATGTCAATAGAAGGGAATTATATAGAAGGAATAGCATAAAGCATACAGGAAATGCTGATTTCAACATCATTTTTTAAGTGGTAACAATTTCCACAAAGATTGATAACAGCCAAACTACATATAACAGATAGCTAGTTCATCCATGTATAACCACAAGAAAAGCTACATAGGACAAAGCAACAACCCTTAAAATCAAGAGTCAGCAAGATGACCTTTCAGTAATTATATTTATAATCATAAGTCAGGCATAACTACCCCACACAAAAAGAAGTTGATGGAACTAAAAGATTCTCATCAATTACATGAAAATATCACCACGCCAAAAGATTATGGCATCTGACCTCTCAATCTCCTACAACCATACAACACCTTGAACTGGGGGCACATAGGGTTGGTAACATAGGCCATAAATAAATCGACACATATGAAAAGCTGCATGAACTATCCCTCATAATCAACAATCCCCATGGACAAGGCACCCTTCAAGGTCCATGGAATTGATGCCCCTCTTTAGGTCATAACCCTAATCCTCCAAACTATAAGAATTTTGTTCACGATGGATAGAAACAGAATAAATACACTGCAGTTCATTGGATTTAAGGGACTACTCAAACAAGCAAAAACAGCACCTCAGCTGCAAGGTTGTTCTCCAGCAACTGAGCTTTTTGAAGACTCATATTATCTGTAGCTGCAGCAATATAGAATCTTGGAGTAAACCTATCTTTCTGTAGCACAACAGGAGATTAAGCATCTCAGCTGTATGACCACCTACAGTAGTGAAAAACTGTAACTAGACTGATTGAATCACCGTATATTGCTTTGATATGAATGAAGAACAGGACACATAGCAAAGGTTCAAACCTGACCCCAAAAGAATCAGGGTGCGAAGAGGCTTTGCAGCCCTTCGACTTAATGGTCTACTGCCCCATAATATCACATAAAGGATACGAATCAAGATCAAGGTAACAACAATGGTACATGAAAAGGTACTGAAGGAAACCATTTTAGAGACTGCATCCAAGGTCTTTTTCCATCGTAAGAAACTTCAGGTATTCAATCAATGCTACAATGACATCTTCCCTACAAAATTGGGGGAAATGCAAGGGGAGAAAAAACAATTAGTATCATAACTTCATATCTATTTGTGAGTCAACAGCAACTTACATTAAAAATATACATGTGTAGACACAAAATTTAATAAAATTTTAATTGCCAACAAATCCAATGATGAAAACTTACATAATTGCATAGAGGTGAGAGAGAATGACACATGCAATGTTAGAACAATTACAATGTCTAAAAAACAGGCTGCTGATGTTAAAAGAGCAAGTGTACAAGACTAGCTTTAGGAAAAATGGAGATTTGACACATAATCTCATTTAGTTTGTGTAGTGTACAAGCTAAGGCTCAATCCCCGGTGTGATATATCTTGTTAACAGAATGTAAATACAAGAACAAATCATATGAATAGGATATCAAATTAAATCAAGGCTTGTGTCAATAAACCAGCACGTGAACTAAGACAAGATACAGTACATCAGCCATGGCGGAAGATGACTAGGGTTCATTCAATGGAAGAGACCAGTATCAATCTATTTATAGAATTACAATTGAGGACCTTAGTTTTATCAAATTTACAGTTAACACCTTGTTATAAAAAGTTGTTTGCTTGGGGGGGGGTGTGTGAAACAGTATATGAAGGAAGAAGCTTGTTTTCTCCGGAGAATATAATATATATATATATATCGAAGCTGATATCTCCCTCTGTGTATATATGTATGGAAGGACGGAAGAGTAGATAATTAATGTTTAAATAAAAACATATACTGAAACTGATATATATGGTTATTTGAAGAAAGTGATATCTAATATGTTGAAGAATATATAATGTTTTATCACAATGTTTTATTTTTTGGAAAATATATATTTTTTATAAAAAATATATAATGAATTTATTCTATAAAGATCATGCAAGTAAAGGATGAATCGGAACCCAAAATAGAGTGGATTTGAAAGTTTGGATGAGACATGGGAATTTTGGAGACAATATGGTAAAAAAATAAGGTTTAGAGTTAGAAATGGTACTTCTACAAAGACTAGAAGAGACAAGTCCATATTATTAAAGGAATGGTAAAAGAATTGGGTTAGAATTGACTTGAACATTGAGACAGAAATTAAAGGAACAGACCATAACAATGAACCCATATATGGAGTGCTATAGCATATTAATTCCTTGAGAACTTTAATCCGGAGGAATTTAGAAAAAGGCTTGCTAGGTTTACGAAAATGAAAAGGGTGCAATAAATATGACATTCCCATAAATCTACTTGAAGCTCATGTGGCATGTCAAGCTTTTGATCCGAATGGAACTTGCAATGAAGTCTGATTTAATCAAGTTGTTCTGTGAACCTTATCCACCTAAGAGAACTTGGAAATGATCAAGGATATACTAGCAATAAGATTGGAAACAATTTGTAAGTAGTTCACATTTATTCTTTTGGTACAGGAGCTCATTGTAGGATGAAGATTTTCTCCCCTTACATTTGTTTACTTTTGTTTCATGCAGTGAGGGGGGTGGGGTTGGGGGGTTTCCATCCCTCTATAGATATCATGGTGCTATCATGTATCATCAGAACTTTAGAGCCAAATCATTTCAAGTCATATGAGTACTGTACTGTCGATGTTTTCTCTGGAAAAAAAAAAAAAATTGGCTAATCTGGACATCCTGAATTCAAGTGTACTTTTTTCAAACTGATTTTTCAAGACATTTATCCAATTACTTCAGAGGGTAATAAGCTCTCATTGGTGTATTTGTCGTGGATCAACCATAGTCGATATTTGACTATTAATTTGGTAGATATAATGAACAAAGCATTACATCACACTTAAAGCTAATACAGAACTCAGATCAAAGTCAGTGAAGAGATAGAAGCCGAAAAGTTACACAAGAAGGGATTACTTAAACGTGAAAACACTTACCTCCAGATCTGCGATGATCATGGCCGACGGAGGAAGACAGCACAACGACAACAGACGGAGCGAGTGCCGAAATGACCAGGGGAAGGCAACGATAAAGATCGGAGAATTTAGTTTAAAAAAAAATTAATGAACGGCTTAGATTAAAAAGTGACGGACAGCCAAGATCCTTTCTTTCTTAATTGAAACGATGCGCTGGGTGGTGAGCTTCATTCAGACCTTCACATCTCAATATTTCATCGCCAGGGTGCCGAACATATATTTTGCCTTATAGTATATATTTAAGATATTTGTTTTTAATTAAAATTAAAAAATATATATCATTTATAAATTATTCATTTTATAATAATTTTTTATTATTAATATTATTGACATATTAAAATTCACCTATTTTAATTTAATTAGATATAAGTATATTAAGTATATAAAATTAAATATATAAGTCTTACCCATAATCTTGAAAAAAGATGACTTTGTTATTTTTAATTTTATTTTATTTTTACCAATTCATTCCTTTGGACTGATATTTTTGTCAATTTTTCAGTTCTTAGATATGCGATAGCTATAATATAATTAAGGATGCATATGGGTTAGGTTGAAATGGGCTCCACCTTAACTCCATGCCCAGCCCAAATACATACTTAAATATTAGGTTGGCGGAATGTTTAGGTTGGGTTTGACCTTATGTCAAAAAATTATTTTAAAATATAAAAATAATATTATTAACTAACAAAATTATAATTATTTAAAATATATTTTTAAAAAATAATGTTAAAATTTAAAGTAATATTTTTTTAAATTGTACATGATATACAATTTAAAAATATTTAAAAAGATTAAAAAAATTGAAATAACAAAAAAAATCTATAATCAACATAAAAATAATATAATATATAAAAAATATTAAGTAAAATAATACCATAAACTAATTAAGTTTTTAAAAAGTTGAAAAATATAAAAATAAATAGATATTTTTGGATTGAGCAGTGTTGGGCTGAGATTGACCCCAGCTAATGTCTAGCTTAACCAACTTTAACAAGGTTGAGCTAACCAGGCCACCAAACAACCTATACAACCCTAAATATAGCTTCTTATTGGATTGTTGTGATTTCAAGCCTTTAACTATGTAAACATTAAAAATTAAGCAAACACAAAGACTCATATTTGATATATATGTATTTTTTTTGTTTTTTCAAAATATCCTCATAGCTAATAGCTATAAGATCAATCTTTCAAAAAATTTGAGTGATATATAAGGGATTATCATCTTTTAAACAATGCTCTCCATACATGTTTTTATAAATCAAATTCTAAAATGATACTTAACGTTTCAAACTACTATCACCTGCGTGTCATATTCTTTTAATTATGGAATATTTTATATATATAAATAAATAAAAAAAAATATATATATATATATATATATGTGGTTTAAAATATGTGAACATGTTTAAGCTATGTGTTTGAACTTTCAACACATGGTAGAGTTTCACAATTATGGCCTCCTTTTTTATTACTCCCTCCATTTAAAAATATAAAATATTTTTTAAAGAGTTGTATATTTAAAAATGTAAGACATTTTTAATCTTTTGAGGTGCAATCATTACCTTCTTTTTAAAAGTACTTTTGATAGTAACTTTATATTTATTATAGAGTCTTTAATAGGAGTAAATATGAAAAGATAAAGTTAATTTAAAAATAGGTAATTATTTTATTAAAAGGTGAGATTTAATTAAAGATATTTTTTATTTTTAAATAGAGAGAGTATTATTTAAAAAAATTATGTTGAGCTTCCTAATTTTACGTGGCGCAACCAGTAAACCACAATAGAGTGGGTGCAACTGCCGCAGCCTCACTTTTTGCTGGGTTTCTAACTTTTTTTTTTTTGTGATTGAGTTTCTAACATGGACAAAATAATAAATAAATTTTATTAAAATAGACAAATGAAAAATAAATATCATGAAATAAAGTAGTTATTTTGAAGTATCTAGGAACTAATTTGACATAAATTTTTCTTGCAAAATTACTTTGTTGATTATCAATAAAATGAAAGATAATAATTGTTAAAACCTAAAATGTAATTGTTAATAAAAAAAAGTAAAATTGTTAATATAAAAATTGTAGTTGTTATTTTAGTCATGCAATAATAAGTACTCCCTCCGTTTAAAAACATAAGATATTTTTAATTAAATCTCACCTCTAATAAAGTAATTACTTACTTTTAAATTAATCATACATTTTCATATTTATTCCTATTAAACAATCTTCAATAAATATAAAATCATTATCAATAGGAACACTTTTGAAAAAAAAAGTAATAATTACATCTTAAAAGACTAAAAATACCTTATATTTTTTAACATTTAACTTTTTAAAATATGTCTTACATTTTTTAACAGTACACTTTTTCTATTAACAATTTCAACTTAATAATTAATAATATCAGTTAATGTATTAACAAAATTGTTGATTGTAAATTCAGTTTAATCAAGTCAATAAGAATTATACTTTATATGTTAACAAATTTATCTTCATTATTAATAATTTTAGTTTAGATTTTAACGATTACAGTTTTTATTATTTTGTAAAGGGTTAGAAACATAATTTTGCAAAAAAAATTATATCAAATGAATATTAAGGGACTTCAGTATAATTATCTCATTTTATAGTATTATTATGTTATTTATCTATTTTGAAGCAATTTATTCGTCATTTTTTCTTTTAATATTTGCACGAGTGGGAAAAAAAGAACAAAAAGAATAGTTTCTTTTCATGACCAAGTTAAGAAAAATTGGTCAATACAGGTGAGGTGACGCATTGTGACCAAGAGATGGCGCATGGCGAGGAAGCTCCGGCCTTAATGATAACCTTGTTGGTTTCTGGGACTCAAATGAATTCAGTTTTTTATTTAGAAAAATGGTTTTAAATACTGTAAAAAAAATGGTTTGAAAGGATCAAATGACAAGTATACTGCATTTGGATAAAACGATTGAGATTTTAAAAAAAAACAAAAGGTACTTTAAAATAATTAACTTTTGATGAGAAATTACTAAAATACACTTCTGATTTAATGTTTTATTTAATATTGAAAATGTATAATAAGTCTATATTAACAAATTCAATTAGGATTTTTTGCAAATATAACTTCTTTTTTTTTGCCTGAATAGTACTTTCTTTAATAAAGAAACTGAATATAAAAAAATCCACAAAGCTAAAGAAATCTGAACATAAAATGGACCAAGAATAGTGAAAAGAAAAACTACAAACAAAGCACGGTTAAGGTAACTAATACCTTGCTTAGCAAACCCAATAGAATCGGAAACATGATTAACAAATCCATCAACATCAAGATCAGAAGCATCACAGTGCAAAATATCCAGTAAATAGGATGGAGCAAACTCCAATCAGATGGCATGGAACATCCTCTTTTTACCACCAACTCCTAAAAAATCAACACCTCTATTCCCTAACCTAGCAACTAAGGAAAAATAAACATTTTGCATTTTAGACTTCATGATCAAAAGATCCTGAAACAGGTCTCTACAATGCCAGTCACAACCCAATATAGAGCCTTCCACCATTACTTTATATAGAATCTCACAATCCATCTCAAAGCAGATTTTTTCATCAGCAAACCTCCTCCTCAACATCATATTCTCCTTTAGTGCCAAACCCTTAGCCATTAGAGCAGACTCGGCTTAGCAATACCTCCACAAAAAGCATCATTTCCCCTTCTACACACAACCCCCACTCCTACGCATTTATTGAGCAAATCAAAACAACTATCATGGTTCATTTTAATACAACCTTCATCAGGAGCAACCCAATGACTTAAATGATCAAATTTGTTAATTACCACCTTCCTGCTAGATGCCTTGCCTTTCTCCTCGGCATTCCAGAACTCCTTAACTTGTGCATGCACCAAGTAAATCACTTTCAGCATTAACCTTCTCTCCATTAAACACCCAATTACACCTACTCTTTTAAATCTACCAACACATGGTAACCAGAATTGACTTACCATATTCATCCAAAAGCACTGCAATCCACCAACATTTCCTCCAGCCATTTCTCCACCCTTACCACACCCGCATCTTTAAAGTGAATTCCTAAAGAACATCCAAGCCAACATTTCTTAACCCAAGGACATAGGAATGGGAAGTGCTCAACAGTCTCAATCTCTTTGTTACACACTAGACAAAGAGGATCATGAGCATACTTCTTCTTAAAAAGAGCATTCTTTACAGCTACAGCTCTATTAAAAATTCTCCACAAGAAGTGCTGAACCTTTGGTGTAGTAGCCACCTTCTAAAGTTTCTTTAAAATGCGGTATGAATTGCTAGGCCTACATTCATATTCATCCTCCTCTTTTCTTTTAGCCACAATATAACCAGATTTAACTATATAACACCCATTTTTATTGGCCAACCACAAGCAAGAGTCAGAGGAGTTAATTCTAGACAAAGGAATGTTCAAAATAGCCTCCCTCTCTCCATTAGAAATTCTGTCAGCAATTAAATCCAGCTTTCACATTCTATCAAAAATTAGATCAGTAACCTTCAACTTCCTCTCATCATCATTTATAGTATCAGCTTTCAACCTATGGCCAGTTAAATCAAGGATCCAGTAACTTTCCCAAATTCTCACATCAACTTTATTCCCAACCTTCCAACAGAATCCTCCTTAAGTAAGTCTTGACCCTCCAAAATATTAGACCAATACTATGAAGCTCGCCCCCTTTTCTTGGCTTACCAAAATTCACATTTAAAAAAATAGATGCTTTTCAACATTTTGCACCGCACATCTCGAGGATTAGTTAGAATCCTCCAAGCAGTCTTAGCAAGCTTTATTAAAGCACTTCAAATCTCTAAATCCCAATCCACCGTCAGCCTCAGGATTAGCAAATTTAGCTTATATTATATGACCAAACTAAATAAATAGCCCATCATTTATTATATCTTTTATTATGACTAATTTATTATAGTTTTTTAATAATATATTATTGTATGTCAATGATAAACTTATTAATTTTTAATGATAAACTCCTTATATATCAATAATAAACTTTTGCATATCAATAATAAATTTCTTATATATCCATGTACACCAACCACATTCCTAAATTTTTAAAAATTTAATTTATATTTTCTGAGTATAGAATTTTTTTGGCTAATGAGTCAATTTATCCATTCAATTATATTTCGATACATCATTTTTATTTTTTAAATATACAGGGAGCTATAATGAATCTAGGGAGGGCAAGGGGCGACTGCCCCATAAATAAAATGCCCTTTGAAAAACATAATTTTTTTCCTGTAAAAGAATCAAAAATTGATTATAGCCTCCCATTCATCAAGTTCTGGGTTGTTTTCTCGTAGTGAGAATCACGCCAATTACCTAATCATATTTTGATAGCTTGTTCTTATTTTTCATTCAAATATTTTTTTATAATATATTTTTCATTTTTCTTCAATAATCTTCTACACTCCTTCAAAAATCATCAGCACATCTTAATAAAATTTATTCATATAGTTTCAATTATCTAATCTAAATAATTTTTCAAAAGTTTTCAGAAAGCTTCAGTTATTTTTTGAAACTACCTAAAAAATTCTTGAAAATACATTGAAAATTTTTAAAGATTAATGGAAATTTTGAAGAAAGGTGAAAGATAATTGAATTTTTTTTTAAGCATGCGTTGAGGACTTTTGAAGAAAATTGAAAACCCTTCTACTAAATACTTTTGAATAAAGGTGAAAAGATGATTGAATCTACTAGAAGATTTTTTTCTTAAAGATATGTTAACGACTTTTGATGATTAATATTTCTTTTGAAGAAAAATAGAAAACTCTTTAATAGTTACTGAAAACTTTTGAAGAAGTCTAAAAAAAATAATTGAAGCAACTCAAAGGTTTTTTTTTTTTTAAGATGCGTTAAGGACTTTCAAAAAATACAAAAAATTATTAAAGATATTAATCATATATTCTAAAAAATATTTTTTAAATAAGATTAAAGTGCATTCTTATTCTTGAATTATTCTCCAAGGAGTACCTAATGTCTTAAACAATTTGTCTTGGCAATTTTGCTTATAAAATAATTAAAACATAGCATATTTACTTTTGACATTAAATATCCCAATATTAACCATTAAAAATACTAACTAAAACTTAAATTTGATAAAAAATACACCTGTCATACCAAGTGAATCAAAGTTAAGGTATATTTTTGTTATATTTTAATTATTTTAAAGGCAAAATTGCTACAACATAAATGGTTTAAGGCATTAAGTGCTTCTTGAAAAATATTCAAGGAGAAAAAAAATACACTTTAACTTTCATTCACTTGGTAAAATAAGTGGTATTTTTGGTTAAACTTAAGTTTCAATCAACATTTTTAATTATTAACATTAAGGTATTTAACATTAGAGGTAAATATGCTATGTTGAAATCATTTTAGAAGCAAAATTGTTATGACAATAGATTAGAACACTGTGTGCTTTTTGGAGAATAGTTCATCTCAACCCAATTAAATAAGTAGATGTCATATAATCAAAATGTGATAGATCATTGGCACAAGTTTGATTATATATTAAAAATGATGATAATATGTTGCAATATCATGGGAGAATAACAATAAAAGTCTCAAACTACATAAATCATGATTAAACAATTGTCTAGAGCTGTTGGGGGACAAATGTGGAATGGAAACTAATTAATAAAATCCTTTTAAAAATTTGCTTAAATCCTAGAAAATGATTAAGGTTTGAATTCAAACTTCAATCAACAAAAAAGCAAAGTTTTCTAATAAACTAATTTAAATAAATAATTATTTATTTTTTGCAAAAATAATCCAATAAAAGGAACTCAATATTTGTTTAACTCAGCGTAACAGGGCGAGTCGGTTGTTTTCAATTACAATTGGAGCACACTTCTCCTCCAAGCCTATTTCACTAGCCCATTTCATTCCTTAATATTTATACATTAGGAGCTCTTTTTATGTGAGCAATGTGAAACTTCTTCTTTTAAAACACACACATAATAACTACAATATTCACCCACGGTACAGTTGCCAGGTTCACTCGCAACAACAAGTTCACTCACTCTTCAACCTTCAAGGTACCTCTATCTCTCTAATTCAGTAAATCCTTGCATGAAGAAATGAGTTGTTTAGTGCTCATGTTTGTTCACACGCAGTAAGTTCTTGCGATTTACTAGCATGATGTCTTGATTTTTTTGCAATTTTTCTAGGGTGTTAAGGCTACTAGTCCAGCTCATGAATTAATATTTTCTACAATTTTTTTGGCCTTTTCAATTATAACCTTTTATTTTATTTTTGATTTTGATTATGTGATTCATATTTTATTTGCAGTATATTATCATCTAATGTTAATATTAATGAAGGTAATAAAAAGTCAATTGATGGAGAATTAACTCCTTCCTAATTTTGATTTGTTTTATTTTAAATTTTAAAATATTTTAATTAATTTATAATATTTAATTTTTTTAGAATAAGACTTACGCGTCCTGTCTTAAATAAAAAATGAGAAACCGAACTTAAAGATTTAAGTGGAGCTAAGCTATATTCCAACTTTACTTGTTGCATGTTCTCTTCTTCTAATCCATATATATGTTAGAATCATTCTTCTTTTTTCTTTTGGTTTGCCTTTTGGTGAATTTATTAACCCATGATGATTGCTTCATTTCAGATATTTCTCACTGCCTTTGCCACTTCCTCCCGTCTTCATTTTTTTCTTCATCTTTTCTGTTTTTTATTTTATTTTTTACAAACCTGCTGAACCACTCAAACCACACCGGTTTAAGCGGTTTGCTACCGGTTCCGATATTTTCAGGTTTCTTCTATCTCTTGACACCCCAATGGATTCCTGAAAAAACCAGCCTGTCCGGTCCAGTTCTGACATTATGAATTCGTTATTTTTCAATTTTATTGTCGTCCTCCCCAATAACATTCGGCATTTGCTCTGTTAGCGTGCAACCTATTATGCCATTTTTTTTTTTTGGGTCAAAACCTATTTTGTCATTTAAATGACAACTAGACAGTTTTCCCTATATTGTACGGATTGAATTTAAAAAATTTTAAAAATATATCTTGAATATTATTTATATTGACACATTTAAGATTGTTAAATTTTTTAAAGTTTCTCTATTTAATTATTTTTTATCTTTTTAAATATTTTGTTCATATACATCTTGTCTTTATTTTTAAGCCTATAGTAAATTAGAAATATAGTTTAAAAAAATTAAATTTTTAATGATTTTATCATACATGATTATGGCACGAAAACTTCTGAACATTTATCCTTTTATTTTTTTAAAATAATGCAAAAAATGTGAATTATGTACTTTTTTTATATTTGAAATATATAAAACATAATTATATTTTTTATTTTGATTTCATGTTTATAACGTATTGCCAGACAAATCATACACAAATGTTTTTCATTGAAATTATATATAATTATATGTCTAACAACCTAAAAGTGAGAAAATTAATCTTTGTAAATTGTTAAGGTTTGATAGAAGAAAATGATAAATAATAATATAAATATAGCCATGTAATATAGATAAACACTCATTAATAATATGAAAAAGTTTTACAAATCGATATATTTTTATTTCATTTTGTGATAGTGAAATATAAGATAATTTTTCATCATCCAGTACAAGTAACAATAAAGATGCTCGCCAAGAGGTACAACAAACTTTTTCAAATACTCAAGCCCATGCCATTGATATTCCATGAAAAAACTGAGATAGATGGAGTTACTGCTCTCATAACACTTAAAATTTTATATTTAAAATTTAATAATGAGACGTATGAATTCTTAAAAATAGAGACTGGAGAATATTGAGAGATGCAAAATAAATAAAAAGTTAAGACAGATGGAGTTGCTACTCCCGTAAGACTTGAATTTGATATTTAAAATTTAATGATGAGATACATGAATTCTTAAAAATAGAAATAAAAGAATATTGAGAGACACAAGATAAATGAAAAAGTTGAGACACATGGACTTATTGCTCCAATAAAACTTAAATTTTATTTTTAAAATTTAATAATCAGATTCACGAATTGTTAAAGATAGAGAATGAAAAATATTGATAGATGTGAGATAAATGAAAAAACTGATATGGATGGAGTTACTGCTCCTATAAAAGTTAAATTTGATATTTAAAATTTAATAATGAAATACATGAATTCTTAAAAATAGAGATCGAAGAATATTTAAAAACACGACATAAATGAAAAAGGTGAAATAGATGGAGTTACTGCTCTCATAAAACTTAAATTTTATATTTAAAATTTAATAATAAAATACATAAATTTTTAAAATAAAAATTAAAAAATATTAAAAAATGTGAGATAAATAAAAAAATTAAGGTGGATAAAGCTACTACTCTCTTGAAACTTAAATTTTATGTTTAAAATTTAATAATAAAATATATGATAAATAAAATGAACCAACCAATAAAAAAATTAAAATTTAATCAAAATTAATTAATCAATAGCATTAAAAAAATTCTGACCAATGAGTAACCTTCGACCAGAGTTGTGCATATATATATATATATATATATATTGACGACGATGATTTTGATGATTCGCTTTTATTTATTTGATTGATCGTTTTGACCAATTTCCCCCTATTCTTTGATCGTAGTAGCACTTGGTTGTGGCGGTGGGTGTTTTTACAGTGATGTTTGAGGCGTGTCAGGGGCAGGTGAAGCTCCCTTCAAGTACCACAAACCTCGTGATTCCCAGCCGATGTGGAGGAATCAAGGTGGAAAGCGCAACGTCCGCTTCGCCCTGAAATCTGAATTGGATTCTTCTAATTCTGAGGTTGATCGTTCGCTTAAAGAATTAAGTATTCGCGAGGAGGTTGATGGCGAGAACTGGACCATGGGAACAAGGACGGTTTGGAGCTGAAGAATGAAGTAGGAAATGACACGGAAAATAATCATGTGGATGATTCAAACAAGGAAGGGGACAATATTTTTAGTAGACTGCATAAGCTAATGAGGGATGCAGGAGAGTCGGAATTGTCAGAGGAACAGCTGAGTATAAATGATCAATTGCAAGGGGACGAGGTGATTTGGAATTGGCAATTTACGTTGCCATTTTTTACCTTGTTCTTTTCATTCCTATCAAGCATAGCCGAGGGCTAATTTAAATTACGGGATTTAGGATTGAGCTCCATTAAAAATAATCTAATTGAAATTGCATTGGAAGTCAGAATTTTGAATCCTTTAGTTTTCTAGAGTTTTTGAAACGTTGATTTTTATATGGAAATATCATGGTATTGATGTTGATTGTCTTATTTTCTTGCTGTCTCACTGGTGATTTTGTTTTTCAGTTACTTGCATTGGAGTCAATTTATGGAGAAGATGTCTTCAACCTCGAGAGATGGAAAGCTCTCCGATGTTTTCAGGTCTTGCAGTAACACATTAAACTAGTCTGACAAATGATAATTCTTTTTTCTTTCTTCTGACATCTAATCCTGGCTTGTGTATTGCCCCCTCCCCCATTTCTGTGTCGCAGATACGCATACACATTGAAGTTTTAGATGAAATTTCCATCACAGCTAAGCTGAATTCTACTAATGAGCATAGGACTGCTAGCACCAATGCAGATGACTTCTCATACTCTTTTGAAGTTCAATATCTTCCACCTATTATTTTGACATGTTTATTGCCAAGGTCATACCCAAGCCATCAACCACCGCTTTTTATAATTTCTGTTAAGTGGTTGGACTCCACAAGAATTTCTAGCCTATGCTCTATGTTGGATTCAATATGGACTGAGCAGCAAGGGCAGGAAGTTATATACCAGTGGGTAGAATGGTTACATGGTTCTTCTCTTTCTCATCTGGGATTTGAGAAAGAGATTACTCTTGGTCCTTATGGCATGAAACATGTTGGAGATGAGCGCGCAGTCTCAGGAGCTGTGTCCCTAGAGTTTGATATTCCATCATTACAAAATTACAACAATGAGAGAGATCACGAGAACTTCCTTAAAGAAATGCATGAATGCTGCATTTGCTTCAGTGTATATGCAGGTAATTTCTTATTTTAGCATGGCAGAATTTTGTGGTCATTAATAAGTACGTTTGGCTAATTAGTGTTTAAAATGGTCAAAGTACATTAATAAGTACATGTTTTGATCCACTTGCAAATCTTCCATTTTCTTTTCGTTGGTGGGGGTACAAATACTATACTAGTTGGTCATGTAGAGACTTGGGCTCATTTTTTATCTTAGCAGGTAGCAGTTCTCAATAGTTTAGGGGGATGGTCCCCTTGGCTCATTGTCTGTGCATGTATTGAACAATACTAAAATTTTTATCATCGTTCTTTTGTGTGCATCATCTCTTTCCAATTAGTATCTGTAGATACTTTCACATGTCTCTTGAAATGTGCATGATATGCCAAATCAGAAAGTGTCATTCTTGTGTTTTGTGTTCATTAATATTGGATGTTTAATTTTGTGACTATTAAGGTAAGAATTCAATTATGGACCCAGGCCTGTGATAGAAAACTCACACATAATGCTTACCTGTTCACTCACTTATACACTTAATCACTTTCCTCATTTTTTGTAGTAGTCTAGCTTATGATGGCCTATCTTTTAGGAGACTAATACTAAATTGTTATTCATTTCACTAAATTTAACATGTATTAGTTTCCTGCATTAAGGTGCTATTATAACCTTGCTATGACTTTTGATGGGTGACACTTTTTTCCATTTCCTTAACAAGTCTTGTGGCTGATTGCTGACTTAAATTTGTATTCCTGCCTTTTACCCTGAGGACAAGGTGTCACTCATTCTTTTTTTTTTTTTGGGGGGGGTTATCAAGGGGCCCAACCCCCTTAAGGTTTATACTCATTAGAATAGGAAAAGAGAGAAATGGGATGAGTTGATTCAACAGGAACAGAAGGGGTAAATTAGTAAATGCAAGCATGTTTGTTAGGGGAGAGAGAATTGGGAATCTGAGAATAATATCGTTGTATAAGAGTGGGAGAAGTGTAATGAATTTTGGAGGGTCTTGTAGGAGAGGCTACCATCTCAAGAGCTAGAGTGTTGGTGTCTGTTTTACTTTATGAGTTTTCCTTTGTATCTCCTTCGATAAATCACTGTGTTAATGTCAGAATCATCTTCTGCACAGTTTTCTGGTTCAGCTGAGTGTAATTTCAGTGCAGGTGCATTACTATCATTTCTCCATATCACTTTTATCTTGTTTTACATGGATAGATGCTATGTTGCCTGAGCTAATTTAGTGCATTGGTACCCTTTTTCCATGTCTTAATCTCCTTTGCTCTGTTGGCTTGAAATTTTTTTTACTTTCCACTTAATATATTATTTTTTGTCGCATGCATGCATGAGTGCTATCCACTCATTTCAAATGTCTATAACTTGAACAGATTTGGGAACTAAGTACTTTCTTTGTCATCAAATAGGTACAGAGTTTGCTCAATTATCGTGTCTGCATTATTTTTGCCTAAAATGCTTGAAGACTTTTGCCCAGATGCATGTCAAAGAAGGCACCATCAATAATCTTCAATGTCCCAATTCAAAATGTGCTGTTATGATTCCACCTGGTCTGTTAAAACGCTTGCTTGATGATAAAGAGTATGAACGCTGGGAATCTTTGATGTTGGAGAAAACACTTGCATCAATGTCTGATGTTGCTTATTGCCCAAGATGTGAAACTCCTTGTATAGAAGATGAAGAACAGCATGCTCAATGCTCTAGATGCTTCTTTAGCTTTTGTACCCTTTGTAGGGAGCGACGCCATGTTGGCATAGCATGCATGACCCTAGACATGAAACTCAAAATTTTACAAGTATGTATTATGGGTCCATATCTAGTTCTTTAGTCTAGTATCTTGTTTTTTTTTTTTCCAGGTTATTTATTTCGTTTTGTCTTTTTCCTTGCTTAAACCATAGGGATAGATTCTTCTTAAGTAAGTTATAGTTTCAATAATCTGAAATAAGGTGCAATCTTTATTTTATCATTGCTCTATTACTTCAAGAGTTGCAAGTAATCTTCCTACAACTTTTTTGTCATCTACGGAAAGTTGCCTTTCTAATGTGACAATGGTATTTTAAAACACTATTAGGCTTCCATCTTTTTGCTTGTAATTGGTTAGGATAATCTGGTAACTTTACTTTTGGGATTTTTTGCTGATATATAGTTTGCCCTGTATTGAACAATCCAATGCTGCTAGTTTCCTAATATTTTAAGTAGGATTGTCTAGCTCTTGTACCTGTTTATCATCATCCTGCCATGTACTGAATAGTTTAATGTCCCCAATTTCTTGATTGTTGTCCTTGTTACAGGAACGCCAGAATTCATCTCAATTAAAGGATGCTCAGAAGCTGAGGGAACGTGAAATGATTAATGAAATGCTCAGCATCAAAGAAATTCATCGCGATTCTAAGCTATGCCCTTCTTGTCAAATGGCTATTTCCCGAACTGAAGGTTGCAATAAAATGGTTTGCGGTAATTGTGGTCAATATTTCTGTTACCGCTGCAACAAAACACTTGATGAATCTGATCCTTACGGACATTTCAGGTTTTGGTTCTTAAAATAGCTTGAAATTCCTTTTGCGCTTACAAAATTCTTTAATTACAAGGTCTATATAGATCTTATTTTTTATGCATTCAAGGGATGGGTACTGTGACTTGTTCCCACAAGAAGAGGCTTGGCAAGAACGCATAAACTACCGTCAAGTGGTAGGACAGTTACAAGCTGAACTCTTTTTTCAACGTGGCCAGCGATGTCCTAATTGTCGTCAATTTAATGCAAAGGTGTGTAAAGCTTTTTGGTTGTCACTTATCAAATTATAATGAGAAATCATCTAGTTGTTGACAAATTTGAATAGATTTATTGAATCACTGAGTTGCTTGATTCATAAAATAGGGGAGATAATTGAGAGAATCAATTTTTTTTTTTTAGAGAATCCATTTAAATAGTCAAAGGAAAGGTGGTTATGGATTCTAAAAATAGTTTATTCTTATCACGGTTTACATTATTTCTGTTATCAATAAGGAGTAATAACTGGCAGTCCCTCGTTTGTTTTCTGATCCCCGTAGAATATTGTTACACAAATATTATGCTACTACCTGCTATTTGTACTACTTCAAGGAACATTATGCATATGTCATGATCTTTTACGTTGGGTTTTATTGCTAAACGCATCTGCTAGAGTTTTAGTTGTGAAATTGCTCTTGACTAAGGTTTCATCATTTGCTCACTTTTGATGGGAACATGGGAGGAGCTGGAGAGGGAAAATAACATCTGAGCGTCAAAGGCGCAAATTTTTTAGTGAAGGTTTTTAAGGAAGTTAAACTAAAAGCTTCGTAAACTAGAAACATTAGGCTCTAACACGCATGTCCAAGTGTTAAAAGACTTTAGAGAGTGGTGATCATAATGTTTTTTAATTGAATTCCTTAAGCTAAGGAATTGGCGGTCAAATTTAAGCATTCTACGGGCTTTTATCCTAATTTTCAGTGGAAACACAGCTCTTCTTGACGTTACTGTGATATCTTTCTTTCTTTCTCCCATTTTTGGGACGTTCAACAGATTGGAAACAATAACCACATGTTTTGCTGGCATGCCAAAGCCATTATTGCTACTCTTGCAAGGTGATTGTTAGGCGTAGCACGCAGCATTATGGACCCAAGGGTTGCAAACAGCACTCCGATGATTAGTGAGGAGCACAATTGTTGTATCCTGGTGGAGATGAATTTGCTTACAATGCAAGTTATGAACTCATCGATATACACGATATAAGATATGGCTACAATTACATGTCCATGCAGGGCTGTCAGAATATATTGGCAACTGGCTTTAGTTTTGGAATAGACTGAGTGGAGAAATTAATGCAATTGTGGACTGTTAGATTGATTTTGGTGGCCTAAATTTAGCTTGTATCATTAAATTTTGATTTGAAGGATTTAGAATTGCTGTGAAGACATAGTGAGGGGAAATTAAGTTTCTTTTGATCTGTTGTAGTTTGCGTGATAAATATTAATCAATGAATTCATGCGTATATACGTCTTTGGCATAGCTTACAAAACTGTGAAGGTTAGCTGTAAAAAAACAATGATATACTTGCAAAACTAAAAGATCCCCGCTGGATGCACTGGTTTATCTAAGCAATTCATGTATAATTTTTATACAATGCTGAGGATAGAAATCATATTACCAAGGATTACTTGGTTATCAACGAAAGTGAAAATGGATAGAAATTATAGAAGAGCTAAACTCATGCTCATTGCTCACGATCTCAGGTGAAAAAAGTATAAATAAAATGACCAAGAGTGAAGACGGTTAATTGATGATATTAGATTTTTCTACGTCTTCAATTTATTTCTGACCAACCTACGTCTTAAAATATCAAAGCATGTTTCATTGAATATAAGTTTATACTCCTTCTATACAAAAAAATGTAAGGTATTTTTGACTGAATTCATCTTTAATAAAGTAATTGCCTACTTTTTAATTAATTCTATATTTTCATATTTATTTCTATTAAACATTTTAAAATAAATATAAAATTATTATTTATAGGGCAATTTTTTAAAAAAATAATGATTACATTTCGAAAGATTGAAAATACCTTATATTTTTTAATATTCAACTTCTCAAAAATATCTTATATTTTAATGAAGGGAGTAATAAATTAGAGGTTAAAATATACTTGATCTTCTTATTCTAACTTTAAATAAGATTTTAATTTGATCCTTAACTTGATAAAATTTATTTTCATTCCTGTAAACATAACACTTAGTTTTAAATGATAGATTTTTCTAATCTTATTACTTTTAAAAAATTAAATTTAATAAGGAAACATTTGAAAATTTTATCAACATTTAAAAGTTTATATGACAAAACTAAATGTGTTAGAATTAAATAATTAAAAAAATATTTTATAAAATTAAGAGATAAAACAAAATCTTGTTTCAAGTTAAAGAATTAAAAGTTATTAAAAGTATACCTTAACTAAATTTACTATGTATAAATCATAATTTGTAATCATATAAAAAACATTTTCATATTTATATTAATATAAAAAAAATTGTTCTCCAACTTTGTGATACAATATAAAACGGCCAAACACGTTTATTGTATCGGCTAAACACACATACAGAAACTAATTAGCTTCTAAATAAGTTTTGCATCCCCGTACAGTACGGCTATTCGGGAGACTCTTGGCATTGCGAATGCTCGGCTCCGGGAGCCTCACAGAAGAGTTGAAGCCGCCGGTTGAACTTTCGTTTCATTAGAGTAACAAGCTTTTGGTTCTGCAAAATCCATGTCTCTATCAGTCCATCTCTTTCTCTGTCTCCTTCTAACCACACTATCGGTGACTGTAATTGCCCCCACCGACTCGAAGCACATGTCCGTCAAGGCGAGTTTTGGAGGCAAGCTACATCCTTTCGGGGCTTACTGTTTACATACGTCAACCCATTGATTCTGGGCTATTTCTGAAAGATAGGAACTTGAGAGCAAAACTAGGCTGCTGGGGCGGAGAGCTCGCGGCAACTGCTTTTGGTTGCGGAGAGTTTTCCATTTTTCCATGGTACCGTGTATTGTGTATTGATGGTTGTATATCCATGTCGACAAGATATGGAGTTGAGTCCGCTTTGCTCCAGAGCAAAGTGCTCTCTTACAAAACAACGGTTACTTAGATTGTATTATGCTGCTTCTTCGGCAGTGATGTTGGAAGACCCTGTGTTTGATGTAAGTCCTAGAGTAGATTATGCCAATGTAATGGTCAATTTTGGAAGAAACAGCGTGAGACCTTCAATTCTTCAAAGAAAGCGTAGTTTATTTCCTATAGTTGTCTCGGTGATTAAAACCTCAAATTGGGAGGCTGAACTTGCAAAAGATAAAATGTTCTGGAAAGCTGTAAGGCTGTATGGATTTTTTCATTCAATCACTTCCTTCAAAATTATTATTCACATTTATGCTTCGGCAGGAATGCGTATGGAAGTGTTTGCTTTGCTCAAAGATATTGTTGGATTCTATAGGAAGGCCAAGTTCGATACATTCAAATTGTTTCTGACTTTGTTAGATTCACCTCAGCATGTGGAACGATCAATTGTGTGTGTGACATGCTTATAAAAGTACTTGCATCCTATTCCATGCTTGATGATTCATTTGATGTGTTCATGAGAATTAAGCATTTGGGGTTTGAACCTGGTGTATTTTCATGCAATTTCTTGTTGAAATGCTTGGTAGAAACAAACAGGGTGGAGTTGGTTGGAAAATTATATGAAGAGCTAAAAATCTCAGGTCCATCACCAAATATCTACACCTATACAATTATGATGAGCTTCTACTGTAGAGGAGATTGTGGGCAGGATGTAGATATTAACCAAGCAACTGGGATTTTTGAAGAAATATTTAGGAGTGGGGAAAATCCCACCGTTTTCACATATAGTATTTATATTCGTGGACTTTGTAAACTTGGTTCTGTTGCTGCCGCTCTGCAATTTATTCGTGAATGTAGGTATAGAAACCAGCCTCTCAATAGCTTTTGTTTTAACTCTGTAATTTATGAATATTGTCAAAGAGGTGCAGTTCACGAAGCTTTGCAAGTCTTGCAAGAAATGCGGAGCTTAGGAGTATTGCCCGATGTTTGCAGCTACAGTATATTAATCCATGCATTTTGCAAAAAGGGGATATAGAAAAAGGTCTTGACTTGATTGAGGAAATGGAACTCTATAATTTAGAACCATCCATAATTAGCTATACCTCCCTTATCTATGGTCTATGCAAGAGTAAGTTGATGGATGTTTCAATGTCTATGTTTCGGAACATTGGTGCTTTTGGATGCAAATTTGATCATGTTGCTTATGAAACTTTAATCAATGGATTTTGCTGTGGAGGTGATATGGATTCAGCCAAAAAGCTTATGGAGGAGATGATTGCTAATGATCTGGCTCCTACTTCTTTTGGTTTCCAGAGTATAATTGGAGGATTCTACAAACTGGGACTCTTAGACAAGGCATTGGAAGCTTTATATTCCATGCTTCAAGGCGGTGTCTTGCCAAATACCATCACTTGCAATTTTATTATTGATGGACTCTGCAGAGAAGGCCGTTTCATGGAAGCCTTGACACTACTGGAAAGGTTCCAAGACCAAGGAATTGACCTAAACTCACGTTCATATAATGCTGTCATCTACAGGCTGTGCAAGGGAAGACATTTAAAAAGGGCATGGGAGCTCCTTCCAAGAATGATGAAAAGGAATGTACTTCCAGGAGTTGTTAATTATACAACTCTCATAGATGCTTTTGCCAAACAATCAAATCTGAAGAAGGCCTTATGGTTATACACAAAAATGCTGAAAGTTGGAGTCACTCCCAACACCATCACTTATACAGTCCTTATTAACACCTATTGCCGAGTGGGCAGAATGCGTGAAGCATTTGGTTTTTACAAGAAAATGATAGAAAATGGTTTGAATCCAGATCATATTTCGTTTACATCTTTAATAACTGGTTGTTGTCGTACTGGACACATGAGAAGGCCTGGGTAGTATTCCAAGAAATGTTGACGAAAGGCCTTTTGCCTGATGTATTTACCTACACGTGTTTGATAGATGGATTTTGCAAGTTAAACCGGATAGATATGGCCTCATTTCTGTTTGATGAAATGAACAGAAAAGCAGTTACTCCTAGTGTTGTCACTTACACTGTTCTCATTGATTGGTGCCGTAAACATGGATATGCAGATCAGGCGCATAGGCTGTATCGTGAGATGAGAGTAAAGGGTATTTCACCAGATGATATAACTCACAGGGTTCTTCCGTGAGGTGGTGGAGTAGAAGCCAAGGTTGCATGATATCTTGATGGTATATGACACACATTTTCTTCTCATGTTTGATTATTTATTTACGCTAGTGTACTAAATTTTTCTCTTTAATTGATGGTCCATTTGAAATAATAAGATCATTACTTACAAAGTGCTGTTAATAACTGTAACACTCATTATTGTGAAAAAATCATATTTCTTGCATCCTAATTTCTGAATTTAGTGTGAAGAAGTGTTTTTTCTTTTTTTGAAGAATTAAATCATATTTCCTTTGTAGTTATACTTTGCAGGTTTACATGTCACTGTGAAATGGTTGACAATATGTTTATAATGCATGAGAAGGAAAATTTCATTTGTAAGGAAAATGCTAAAATAAATCATCATGCATATGTTTTTATGTGAACTAGTCATGACTGTTTTGCACCCACATAACCGCAGCCAATAACAGAATTTGGATTCATGTCTTAGTCCTGGTGATGAAGTGGCAAGGTTTTCCTTGATGGCAATGTCTTGCTCCTGAGGGAGAGAATGATCAGTATTTGAAGTTAAATCTTCACTTACCCATATGTTATTCTTCTTCAGGAAAGCAAGCTTCATCTCTCAATTTGGGGATCTTATCTTCAGCCTGGACCACTATGAACTTGGACCACAACAGTTGGTATCTATTTTTAGTTGCCTTTTCATTATGCAGAGAGCTGCAACGTGATGCTGCTTTGCACCATGCAATGTAATATGTGGATCCAATGTGAAAGGAGAGGGACCAATTGGTTTAGTTCTTGCCTGCTTGAAGTTGATATTGCCAAGCCTTCAGATGAGATGACACAACAGTAGCGAGGGCAATGTTCACTGTAAGTAGAGCTGGGGATTTCCCATTTGCTGCTGAAAGATGCCATTGGAACTCCTTGTCAGCCCTTCCTACTCCCCTTGAGCTTAGCTTGAGAATTATTACTCTGGTTAGTTTGCAGAAAACTACGTTTTCTTTGCTTTGTTTAGAGAGAAACAATTTTCTATGACCTGTATTTTTTTACTTTGTTTTCAGTAATGGTTGATTTTCTTAAAAAGTTGATAGAGAATTATATATTGGGTCTTGTGCTGGGAAATTTACAAGGTGCCTGGCGGGACCCCCCCCCCCCCCCCCCCAATTTTTTCCCCCTTTCGTATGTCTATAGTAACTACTTTCATGAAATCCAAGAAAAATTAGTTAAAGTAAGTTAAATGTCATAAATTATTACTGCTTTCCAAATTTATCATTTGCTTAGTCTAATTCATTGAGTTGGGTGTGGGCTGGAAGAGTCATAATTTAAGTCGAGTAAAAGAGACAAGGGTATTTTTATAAATAAGTTGTAGTGGTTCATTAAATGTTGGAAGGGATCTTGTACTGAAGACCAATGTGTAGAACCTTATAAATAGGACTAAAAGGAGTAATATCCAAGAATTGGACGCGGATGGAGGAAAATTTGACAATGCATCCAACATTGCTTTGCCTGTCGCAGAACCTTTTTTTTTTTACAGTGCCAGTCATTTTCCCTTTACTTTTTTTTTCCCGTTCACTCCTGCCAACATTGCTTTGGCTAGCCTGTTTGGTTTTAAGCCTGTGCAAGTTTAAATGTGCTCATATAATTCTCCGCGAGTCCCCTCCTTTTTGGTACACAGTCTCATCTTTGACATTTGGTTGACTACCACTTCATTTTTTTTTTTTTCAAGGACTTGGTACACAATCCCTGTATAAATTACTTGATGACCTGTGTCACTCTCGCACTTACATCCTCCACAAAAGTCTATGCTTACACATAGCTTTAGAGTTTAGAGCCATAGTCTACTTATATATATTATTTAATTAGTGTATGCTCTGAGTGAATTCTTTTAGAAATCATTGTTAGTGTATACTTGACACATAGAAGAAGGATTAAATAGCTGCCGGAGGTTACTTGATCATTAATTTTTGTCAGAGGAGAAATTCTCTTGGGAAGCAAACATTTGTGCGCTAGAAGTCATGCGTTATAAGAACTCTGAATTTGTGACGTATTGACTGAGATGTTTATATTGTCATCCAATGAAAAGCTGTTTTACTTCATCACTATTCAGTAAGTCTTGCAATTTGCTGAGCCTATATTGATCTATTTGATATGAATGTTTATTTCTTTCTCAAAGCTGCTGGTAATTCAATGGGTTGACAGTTGAAAATTACATTATTGAGATCAATATCACGGTATCACTCTGCTTCTCTTCCTGAAAACTTCCTGGGCCTGCTTACCAGTGTTGGGATTTAACAAGACCACAGATTCTGCAGATTCTGGTGTCATTCAGTTGCAAACGGAGGTGAACCTTCTAACATTGAAGAAGTTGTTGATTGTGTTAGCTGGCTGATCACACGCAGATATTACAAGGTGTCTGTATCTAATGCGCTTTTATAGCTTGATCTCCAATTTGATGTATGTACGTATATACTGCTAATATATAATAATATTATTTATAGCATCTGAGCTTTTGCTTGTCTTGAATCTAAGAACATGGATAAAATAGCATCGAATATGCAAATACACCATACTAGGTGCCTTTTAGTAATTCACTCTAATGTAGTCAAATTTATTAACACTAATATTTTAAATAATACTTGTGGAAGGTCTGAGTCTGAGTTATGTAACTTCCCGCCATTTTTTATACTTTGTATAGTTGGAAATGGCTGACATTGATATTTATAAGGAAAATATAATTTAGGTCCCTGTACTTTTTCTTTTATTTAAAAAAGTGCAGGAACCTATAGTAAACATGAGCAAAGTACATGAATCCGAAGTTTTTTTTTTCATATTTAAATGCAAAAAGATTGCTCAAAAACGAGAAGAAAGTGTAGAAACATAAAATGACATGCCACTTGCTTCATTAGTGTACTAGTTAAACTTTTAATATACATATTCCATTTAAAATAAATAGATATAGTCTTGAAAACCTTTTACCTCATTCCAAAGTTAGCTTGGGCGTTAATAAGGTAAAGCTTATTGGGAAAATCTCCAATTATGGGATTGATGGGAAATCAGCATGAGTAATGGGTGTCTTCTGGTAATATCATTGGTCATTAATTGACTAATTTTATGTAAATGTGATAGGATAAATAAATTCAATTTGTTCATTTATAGGCCGTATCATATGAAAGCTAAATAGTATGAATTGGTTATTTTTTAACTCATTATGCAATTCACTAATTGTGGACTGTAAGTTACCTGATATTTCTTGCTATTTTTTTAGGTTCAAATTTGTGGATGAAACAAAATTACCTGGAGGGGCTCTTTTTTTTTTTGGTGGTAAGAGGGGCTCTGTTTATTTTAGACCGGATAATATTGAATATAACATGTATCAAATATTCAAATGTCAGATAACTATTAAAGCAAAAAAGTCCAGAGGAGTTAAATTTTTTTTTTTGGGGGGGGGGGGGGGCACGGGGGCAACGTGAATAACTAAAATTTCAGTGACTGCGTTTTCACTTCTGCTATTTCCGGTTCCTATTATCCTATACTTCTCAAATATTTCAGTGACTGCATTTTCTGCACCTTGTATGTTTTGCAGCTACAAGGCTAAAGCCTAAAAGGCGATCACAGTAGCTTGTTACAATAATTGTGGATAAATTCAAATAGGTGGAGAATGATTAAAAAATACTTTGAAAATATGTAAATGATTAGTACAGTATGGAAACGTGATAATTATTATTAAGTTTTTTAAATATTTATTTGTTATT